GCAAGAAGCCCTTTGTCATCTCTAACCAGACTAACATTGATTCTGCATATCCATATGCCTACTCTGGGTTTATTAATCTACACATCTATCCCACTAAAGAAAGAACTCCCTCGTTTATTATGTAAAGGGACCAACCACCTCCGCAGCCCATTTGCATGCAGGTAAACTTAAAAGGATATTTGTTTCTCTCACTTAGAGCCGGCCTCTGCAGCATTAAACCCAGGGGAAATGAAATTACACTGTGATTTTTCATGGCGGATTAGATGACAACCATGACAAAAAGCAGACCAGTATTTCGGGTTTTATTTTCTTCAAATATGAACAGGTTTTAATGTAAAGAACTCTAGGCTTGTTTAAGCACAATTCTGCACGCGTACACACAAACACCCACCCTCCCACAGGCAAATGCCAACTGATTCACAGCCTGTGATTTCTCACTTGAGTTGGATCACCCAGAGCCTGGGTTAGGGAAGTGCTTCATCACAGTGGCAATGAAACTTCTTTTCATCCTAAATATCACTGTTTCCAAACACCGAAGACATTGACATATGAAATAGGCAACAAAATAATTGGGAATTTCAGGGAAACTTGACTATCATTAATTACATGTCGGTTTCACCTTTCTTCAAGGTTCTTGCCTTTGAAACAAGACAGCTAATTAATAAGTGCTGGGCCCTTAACTTAGCCACACAAGGTGCTCGTGTGTCTTTTTAAGTTTCTCCAGATTATTTTGGTTCAAAGGCATTTTCCATACCAAGAGGGGAGGTTATCTGGCTCAACTACCCTACAAATACTTGTCACAAAGAAGCAAAGGTCTGTCTGTTCCAAAAATTTGTATTTTAAAATCCCAACCAACCCTAAGGTACCAACACAGTGGTATTAAGCAATAAAGCCTTCATCCTCCTTCATTGCTGCTCTGTTTGTAACAGTCTAAGACTGGAAACAGCCTAGACATTCATCACCCGATGAACGATGAATGAGAAGGTAGTGTATCTACCCTAGTGGTTCTCAGTCTTCCTAATGCTCTGACTTTATAATACACTTCCTCAGGTTGTGGGGACCCCAACCATGAAATTACTTTGTTGCTATTCCACGACTGTAATTTTGCTACTGTTGTGAGTTGTAATGAGAATATTTGTGTTTTCTGATGGTCTTAGGGTGATCCCTGTAGAAAGGTCATTAGACCCACAAGGGATCACGACGCACAGGTTGAGAACCACTGGTCTACACAATGCCATATTAGTCAACGCCTAAGCAAAATGAAATTATGGCATTTGCAAGTGAATGAATGGAGCTAGAAACAATAATTCTGAGTGGGGTAACTCAGAACCAGAATGACAAACAACAGCATATTTCTTCTGTATGTGGTTAACATTAGTTTTTATGCTTTAGATATGTGTATTTCATTGAGAACATCCACAGAGGCTACATAATGAGGAAGGCACCAGGCATGGGGGAGGGGAATCTCTCAAGGAAGAGGAAATGGATTATAGCTCTATAAAGTGATGAAGGGGGAGTTAGAAAGGGAAGGTTAAATGGCATTGGGGTGGGAAGGCTGGACAAAGGAGAGAATATGGGGAGAAATAGTAGGATAAAAGCCCTTTGAAAGCTATTTGGAAACCTATTACACTAGAGCTGTCCAAAATATATACACATCTAAAGGGAGTTTAAATGGAGTCACCATATAATGAGGAGACAGGACACAACTAGATGTCGTATGCTAACAAATAAAAAAAAAAAAACCAATGTGAATGGGCTACATCTTTTTGAGACATCATTCAAAGTGTTCAGTGTCTTCCCCAAATAGTACAGGTTATTGCCAAACCTATTGGTTTCCAGTCACAACTTATCAGTAAGACTCTGTTACTGAAGACACCACCTACTTATGTGTTAGATCCTGGGAAAATCTAGCTGGTATTCAACCAGAAGCTTCACCTCCTACTGGCTAGCATTCATACTGCTGGAAGGTGCTATCCACGCTTCCAGAGGCAAAAAGTGATCAATCTCAGTCATCTAAGATTCCTCTGAATGACAAGAACAACCTACCTTCAAGATACACCCACTGTTAGAATAGTGGCACAGATGATATAGTAGTAACCACCCACATTTTCCTTGTTATTTAAGGTCCACTCCATGAGATGGAACCTATATGTAACCCTGTTAATGAGGCCAAGTGTCTTTAGATGTCAAAGCATCTGTGGTGTTTGGGTGTTTGATTTTATTTTTGTTTTGAGAACATCCTCTCACGTAGAACACGTACAGATTCTCTTTTATTATTGTTATTGTGTTGTTTTATTTGTGTTTGCTTGTTTGTTTGTTTGTTTGTTTTTCAAGACAGGGTTTCTCTCTGTAGCCTTGGCTGTCCCGGAACTTGCTCTGCAGACCAGACTGGCCTTGAACTCACAGAGACCCACCGACTCTACCTCCTGAGTTCTGGGATTAAAGGCGTGTGCCACCACTGCCTGGTCCTCTTATTTTTTTTTTTAGCATGTGTCTTAGAACTCTCTTTTCCATAGCGTCTTCTCTAACTAACCATTATTCTCACCACTACTTTACCTGTCCTGGTCTCACTCCTTCTCTAGGTTCACTTAACATGGAAAAATACACAAGCAAAAAAATCGAGAACTTTACTCCCCTTTGAGTTTTTCACAAACAAGCTTATCTAACAACCATATCACCCTGTTAAATTTGAGTAACAGCTTTGAATTTTCCCCCCTTCACCCTCATCTTATACCAATGAGAACTTGGACTGTCTACCTTACCTACCTACCATTCTTAAAATCAGAAGTGTAAAACTATAGTCTTCCAGGTATGCGTACATTTTATACACAATTAACTTTCCAGAAGTTCCATCTCTTGGCTTGATTGCTTTAATTGTCCCCATATCTTAAAGGATCTCTGTTCACCACGGGATATTTGACGGAACCCATACGTCTTTGTTGCTAACGATTTTGCTACAATGTCTAAATCTTGTCTAAAGAGGAATGTGTATGTGTCCCTAACTGCTTTTATTTTTAATGGGAATGTGATGAGGAGGGTTCTCGTATTTTCAAAAAACATTCATCATAAAATAAGTTTCTGTCTCAGGATTATACTCAAAACCTTAAGCCATTTTAAAATGGACAGGCTGGGGTATAAGTCCTGTCCATCCTCATATTGGTTGACTATAAAAATCAATAGCACCACCGCTCTGTACATTTATCTAATGTAATAATCAATAGCAGTGCCTTTCCTGATATTTATTTAATATAATAATCAATAACAATACTGTTTGTTTATTTGACGCCATTGGCGAGAGTAGAACAAATCTGTGTGCTTTATCTGCCCTGTGTATATATAGGCGGGGCCATTTACCACTGACATCTCCTTTCTTTACTTCTCCTACTCCAAGCCAGAACAGAACATCAGTCCCTGACTGAACTGGAAGAATGGTCAGTAAGTTACCGTGTTTGGGAGGCAGGTAGCATGACTGGAACCTCTCTTTGCATTCATTATTCTAGCTACCATAAAGTAAACAAAGAATTTTTCAATTACATATGACACTGTAATATTATTTAACCCTCTGTTTTCCAGGAAAAATTGAGCTGCTGCAGGAGAAAAGTTCCAAGGTTCTGATACTTTCGTACCTGATAAAGTGTTTGTTTCTCGTGTAATAGTATAGTGTGTTTCGTCCCTGGTTAGCTGAATACTTCTGTATAATCTTTCAGAGGTATAAGCTCCTTCTGATCTAGAGACCCACACTCTCTTAGAGACTTACTAATCTCTAGCAGTTAGTTGGTGTCTTACTTACTTTTCTACCGCTGTGACAAAACACCATGACCAAGGCAGCTCTTAGAAGAAAACATTTAATGGGGACTTGTAGTTTCAGAGGATGAGTCCATGATCGTCTTGGTTGGGGGCATGGCAACAGGCAGAGAGGCAGGGTGACGGAGCAGTAGCTGAGAACTTATATCTGATCCGTAAACATTGGGCAGAGAGAGAAAGAAATAACTGGGAATGCAGAGGGGTTTGAAACCTCAAAGCCCAGTCCCAGTGACACACCTCCTCCAACAAGACCACACCTCCTATTCCTTGCCAAACAGGTCCACCAACTGAGAACCAAGCATCTAAACATGTGCACCTATAAGAGCCACAATTTAAACCACTACAGCTGGCATGTTGAAAATTAGCAAGAATGACTGATCCCAGATCCTAATGGCTCCCTTGGAGGTGGGGGGGGGGGTTGTTGAGAAGGCGTGGCATCAACAGCATAGACACCTGGAGTCAGGTAAAAGGCAAACAGTAGGTTCATTTATTTATTCAGCAATGGGGAGAGCCTTATATACCCTCCTCCCAGCACCTAGGCTATATTCCGATCCATTGGCATCACGTGGTCATCCCCAATTGGCTAGGCATGATCAGGACCTCGGATAACACCGAGGTTCTATGTTGCTATGCCCTCAGGCAGACTCCTCCAGGTTGGCTCATCTCTAGGCCTTGTAGGTTTCATCTTCCTACAGATGACCAAATAGAGGATATTTCAACAAATCAAACCTAGAAACAGAATTCGTCACTTCTTCCTGTGATTCCGTTGGTAGAATTTGGTCTTATGGTCACATCTAACAACATGGCAAAGCAATCAAAGAACACAATCCAGCTATATACACAATAATGGGAATGACTTTGAAGAGTTAATCCTGGCACTATCCCATCCTTGAATTGCTTAGGGTTCAAAGAGGAAAACAAGATGAAGGAGTAGCTATGTAACAAAAAGGGAGAGCTCACTGGAGACCAAATTGGTCGGGGATGACAGTGTATACAGATTTTTGAAAAAATAAATAGATTACGAAAGAACACAAAGAATCATCTCAAGAGGTGAAACAGCATAGGAAAAGCAGGGTTGGAGAGAGGCAGCCATCAGGAAGGGGATGTGAAGAGGCTATTCTATCGGCTGCAGCCTATGCCTAGAAGTAGAGAATAGCAGAACTGGTTAAGAAGCCTGGGGTGAATTACCTGAATATGAGCACAGTCTCTGCCACCATAAGCACACATATACTTTGCATTCAAATTCTTACATCCTGGGAGCCCAGTGTACTTTTCTGCCATTTTCGTAGAAATCTCTAAATATTGGCTGATGTTTTCAATTTGAGCAGGAAATGGTAGCATTACCTAGAGAAAATTGTTCGCAGACTTTGTGCTTCTCCAAGAACAAATGAAAATCTAGCAGTAAATTCTCATAGAACAGTTAAGTATTAAGCCCAGTAATCATTTTATTTATAAATGAAGCCCCAAGGATTTTAATATCATGAAGTTAATAAGTCAATACACATTAGATGCTCCAGGTCAGGACATTTAGACTTGGATAATTAAATGTCTTGACCAGGAACCTAGACTTACAACAACATCAAAGTAGAAATGAACGCCAATCATTCTTTCTTCAACCCCACCTCTAAATCCCATCATAGTTAGGGATACTACAGGTCTGATGAGATCTGCCTGACAAATTAAGACATTCTTAAAAAGTTCACCTCACACATGGTCTCGACAGACATTCCCGTGGGTGTATGTTTCTAAATCACTTTGGGAATCTCTTTGGTTGTCATGGGAGTACATTTCCACTCCTACCTGTTCTGGTGTCCCAATGTGTTTCTAGTATAAGGCCTATATATTAAATGTGCTTTATACTGCTTCACGTAGAGCACAAATCAGAATTGTAGAAATCCTGGGGCAATGGTTATTTATATTTAGGGGATTTTGAATCCAAAGGAAACTATGCATCCTGTCCCCTGCCTCTCCAGAAAACTTTTCACAAGTCCATAGAAGGGATTTCAGTTATAAGTAATGGCGGGTTCTTGAGAACCTCTTGTAATTGAAGTATGTTTAGCCTCTGTTTATCTTAGGCCCGCCACAGATTCCCCCTACAGCTAAGTAACATACCAATGAAAGCATTTTTCTTCTTAGACCAATTCAAATTTCCCAGTTTTAGAGGTAAGGAAAAATAATGTATAGAAAGTTTAAGCAACTTGTCGCTATCATCCATCTGTAGGAACTGGAAGGGAAGAAGCTACGCCATCTACCTCCAATAACCTTGACTATGATAAAACAATGGTGAGATGCTGCCTCCACTCTTTCCTGGCCTAGTAATATAGCTCATACACACACACACACACACACATACACTTCTTTGTCTCCTGTCTCCTAAACCCATGCATCCACTTGGTCTCTTATGCTACCAATCATTAACTCATCAGTATGAAAATCCCATTAATCTTGTGCTTTTAAGTCTCAGGGTTTCAGGTCATACATCTAGACAAAGTCCTCCTGTACCTACACATTTTATAGTCTCGAGACACTTTGACAGAAACAGAAGCCTTCTCTTAATTTGACATAGATATCTGTCCTGTTTTCATTTCTATGGCTATAATAACAATACTCTGACAAATGACAGTTTTGGGGGAAAGGGTTCGATCCAACTCACAATTAGAAGTGTCCAATCCATCATCTTGGTGAACTCTAGATGGAACCTTAAAGAAACTGGTTGCAACTACAGCAAGAGTAGAGAAAAAAATAAATACACGCATGCTTGCTGCTCTGTTCATTTTCTCTACCCTTACACAACTCAGGACCCAAACCCAAGGAATGGTGCTGCCCACGGTGGACTGCACCTTCTCACATCCGCTAACTTAATCAAGACAGTTCCCCAGAGACATGCCCACAAGATGAGCTGATCTGGATAATACCTTGCTGAGACCATTTTCCAAGATAATTCTAGATTTTTGCCAGGTTGGCAATTAAAACTAACCGTAACAATATCCTACATGTTGTTGAGACAAGGATATAATTAAGGTTCTTTTTGTCTAAGCTAATAAAAGACCTTGGGTTTTTTTTTCTATTTAAATGTTCCTATTTTGGTTTTTTATAAGACTAGAAGTCAAGTTCAAATTAAACTTAGTTGGAAGACAAATGTTTTGATTGATTTGATTATTGTATAAAATCTTAATCTAATGCCTCTTGATTAAGCCAGCTGTCCTATAATTCACAGTAGACCTAAATATCATTTAACATTCTTGAAGTGTAATACCGATGCTAGTTATTTTTAATGTTATGTTTATTAAGAATTCCCTCTTCCCAGGTGACTGAATGCGAGTTGACAGTTCGTTAATACCTTTCCAGGGAAGAAGCAAATGTGACTGGTAGGAGATTTTACATAATTCCAGACTGTATACCTAGCTCCAATCACAAAGGGGAATCTGGGAAATTTCACCCCGTCATTGTCACTTCCCAATCAACTCAAAATAAGCCCTCTTTGTCAGTAAAATCTACTGCTAGCCGGTGGCGGTGCATGCCTTTAATCCCAGCACTCGAGAGACACAAACAGGCAGATCTCTGTGAGTTCGAGGCCAGCCTGGTCTACAAGAGCTAATTCTAGGACAGTCTCCAAAACTACATAGAAACCCTGTCTCAGAAAAAATAAAAAATGAAACTACTTAGTTCATTTTCAAGATAATATCAAACTTCTAATGACCAGTCATCAAGTTGTTTCAAATAAACTGGCAAATCTAGTAATATATAAATATTGTATTTTTATACATGTATATATACATGTACAGAGTTTACTATGAAATTACAATCACAACCTTAAGACAGACGCAAGCTCTGCCAACCTTCCAGACCGAAGATCTTAAGTTCCCAGTTGTATCTGTTGCTCCCAATAGCAACTCTGTGCCTCACTTCCACATTTTACTCACATGAAAGTGTTAAATGTGGGGACAGAATTTACATTACTTAATAGGAGGGGAAATTCTTTTAGCCATACTTTTAAGACCAAAGCTAATTCAGAGCCTAAACTCATGGATCCCTAGCAAAGATACAGGCAGAAGTACCCAAGATAAGCACCCACTCAGAATCAAAATATAAATAAGACCTTCCCCAGGAATAAATTCAATTGGAGGCAACAAGTTCACCATCCAAAATTATAAAACATGCATGGGAACTCACAGCCATGAGAAAGTAAGCAAAATTAAAGAGGGGTTTGTATCTCTCTGTTGCTAAGATAAACACCATTACTAAAATCAACGAAGGGGAAAATGGGTTTATTTGGTGTATGGGTTATACCATAGTCTATCATCAAGGAAAGCTAAGGCAAGGGTCTGAAACTGAAGCAGAGACCATGGGGAATTGTTGCTTCCTGGCTTGCTCTCTGGCACGCATTCATTCAGCCACCTACCTATGGCTAGCACATCCCACATCGGACTCAACCCTCCTGGATCAATTAACTATCAAGGCAATTGCCCCACAGCCCTGCCCCCGGGCCCATCTGATGGTAGCAAACCCACAATAGATGTTGCCTCTTCACAGGTGACTCCAGGAATGTATCACATTGACAGCGAAATCTAGCTATGATGGAGGGAAAAGAAGGAGAAGCATTCATAAGACCAGGACATTATAGAAAAGAACACAAGAGGGGAAAATTACAAAAGACAAAATTTTTTAAATGAACACAATTGAATGCTTGTTTCTCCCTAAAATCTGATGCTGAAATCTTAACTTCAGAAGTGATGGTTCTAGTAGATGAACCATTTGGGAGACAAATAGATGATATGTAAATTCGTGCCCTAAGAAAGCCCAGAAACACTTGCTTGGCCATTGTGGGCGCAGAGTAAAAACAACACTATTTGAACCATGAAATGAGTCTTCCCTGGTTACCAGATCTACCTGCCAGCATCTTCATTTTGAACCTCCAAGGCTATGATGCCAGAACTATGCAAAATAATCTTCTGTTGATAAGATAATTCTGTTGACAACATAATTCTCTTTATGATGTTTTTCTGTAGCAAACAAAGCAGGCCCAAATCCACAGTCCATGAAATAATCTGTTGATGGCTTAACTAAGCAGTGAAGAGGACAATGACAACAGCTAAAAATAAAATTAGTTATTTGAAAGGTTGAATGCTAAGGTAATCACCTACAACATGGAAGAAATAACAGTTAAGAAACATAAAGGGAAGAACGCGGTGCTTTGTCATACACACAAAGGGGTTTCAGGAAAAAGGAAAAGGTAATTTAAAAGGGACAATACTCAGAGGGATAATGATGAAATTTTCTGGAAATAAATAAAAGCATGAGTCATTAGATTTTAAAGAACATGAGTTCTGCGAACTTTACAAAAGAAAAATATCATACATCATTGCGAACCTAGAAAAACCAAAGTAGAGATGAGTTTTCGAACTCCCTGGGAGAAATGACTTTAACTACCATGAAGCAGCAATCCGAACGGCAGAGGACTTGTAATGGGGAAAAACAGATGCCACAAACCGTCAAAAAATACATGAAATATTCTAACTGAAAAAGCTGTCAGACTAGAATTGCCTGCCGAGCCAGGCTAATATTCAGAGGGTGAGTGTAAACCACGGGCGTTTTAAAGCATACCCAGAACAAGACTTACTCTTCAAATCAACTCCCTTCTTCCCACCGAGAGAGCTACTGGAAAACTGAACTTGAGCAAAAGTCAAGAGGGGAGAGATAAAATGGGATGCAGAAGTCGTGGTGGGAGAAAATTCGATTTCCATGTTCAACTATAAATAAATATGAGCTCTGAAAAATAATAAGCACCGGGACTAATTTTGAAGGGTTTCTTTCTGAGCAGTGCACAGCCAACATAAGCAAATAACAGTAGCATGAAGGATGAGACGTGTTGAGAAAGAACTGAAGTCAACGAAATTACCAGCATTTTTAGGAAATTCAAAAGGAGACAGTAAGTCAAGAGGAGTTTAAAACAGAGGAATATAGCTAACGTTCATTTATTATGAAGATTTGACAATAAGATAATGCTCCTAAACAAGATAAACATCAATTATTTTAAATTCATTTTTCAAATATTTCCTCCTAATAGATAAACATTTCAAGAAATTGAAAAACAGTATGTCCAGAGATGAAGAAAGTTAACCTACTCCCTTGTATTACAAGTTTGTGAGTTGGTTCACACAGAATTAACCGTGATATTTAGCATCTGAGGTTAGTATTTATTATTAGCACATGTTAATTGCACAAAATAGTGGGATTGTTGATAAGACATTTTCATACATTTCATATAATGTACTTTGATTATATTCACCTCCCAGTAACCTCTCTTTTTCCCAATCTCTAAGATCCCTCATCAAAATCATCTCAGCAATGAGGACCAATAACATGACTCAGAGAGTAAAGGCACTTGCACCAAGCCTGCAACCTGGGTTTGATTCCTGGAACCCATGTAGTGTAAGAAGAGAACCTGCCACAGGTTGTATTCCTTTTTTTAAAAAAACTGATTTTTATTGAGCTCTACACTTTTTTCTGCTCTCCTCCCTGCCTCTTTCAACCCCCTCCCAAGGTCCCCATGTTCCAATTTACTCAGGAGATCTTATCTTTTTCTACTTTCCATGTAGATTAGATCCGTGTATGTCTCTCTTAGAGTCCTCATTGTTGTCTAGGTTCTCTGGGATTGTGATTTGTAGGGTGCTTTTCTTTGCTTTATGTTTAAAAAACACTTATGAGTGAGTACATATGATAATTGTCTTTCTGGGTTACTTCACTCAAAACGATGTTTTCCAGCTCCATTCATTTGCCTACAAATTTCAAGATGCCATTATTTTTTTCTGCTCTGTATTACTCCATTGTGTAATGTACCACATTTTCCTTATCCATTCTTCAGTTGAGAGGCATTTAGGTTGTTTCCAGGTTCTGGCTATGACAAACAAAACTGCTATGAACATAGTTGAGCACATGTCCTTGTGGCACAGTTGAGCATTCTTTGGATATATACCCAAAAGTGGTATTACTGGGTCTTGAGAAAGGTTGTTTCCTAGTTTTCTGAGAAATCACCACACTGACATCCAAACGGGTTGTACCAGCTTGCATTCCCACCAGCAATGTAAGAGTGTTCCCTTTTCCCCATAACCTCTTCAGCATAAGTTGTCATCAGTGTTTTTGATCTTGGCCATTCTTACAGGTGTAATATGGATTCTCAGAGTTGTTTTGATTTGCATTTCTCTAATAACTAAGAATGTTGAGCATTTCCTTAAGTGTCTTTCAGCCATTTTAGATTCCTCTGTTGACACAGATTGTATTCTAAACTCTCTCTCTCTTTCTCTTTCTCTCTCTCTCTCTCTCTCTCTCTCTCTCTCTCTCTCTCTGTGTGTGTGTGTGTGTGTGTGTGTCTCTGTCTCTCTCTCTCTCTGAACACACTCTCTAGGTACACCTAGACACCTAAGGACACACACACATACAAAATAAAGACTTTTTAATTAAAATAATGGTGATGGTCTTAGTAATTCTTTAAACTTCCCAAATTAAAAGGAAATACATATCCCAGCACAAAAAAAGAAGAGATAGATAGAGAAATAAAGGAAGAAAAGAAGGGAGGGGAAAAGGAAGGAAGAATATTTATTTTCTAAGAATTTAAAACTTTAAAAAAAACCATTCAAGAATAGCATTTCTTTAGAAGACTGAGTCAAGAGGAACACTTGAACCCATGAGTTTGAGCAAGCCTGAGCTACATAGCAAGACCCTGTCTCAAAGAAAAAGATAGACTGGTGCCTCTCATGGGTTTTTAAAGTCTACTAAAATCATAATTATTAATATGATAATAATTAAACACGTCATTGATGTCATCATTTCCCTACCATCAAGAAAGCCTCTTGCTATGTGTACCCTCACCTGAGGCAGCAAAGTATTCCTAACATGTGATAGTTTTATAGTTTCTAACACTGATGCGTCGCTATTGCCATGAAAGAAGCACTTTTGCTTGACTACAAGTTGGAGGCCTTCTAATTTTGTTTTCCTTTTTAGTGCTTTTGGGAGAGCTAATTGCTGCTCACAGAAGCAATTATTAGGGTCTGAATAGAAAATGTTTAAGTTAAGAAATACCATGTTCATATTCAAGAATCATTGTAATCGGTCTATTAAACAGCAGCTTTGCAGCGGGGTCTACATTTTTTATTTGCTTCATTACTTAAAATGAAATAGCAATTATTAGCTATACTACGGTGACTAAATATTCCATTGTTTACATCGCCGGTGTTAACAGCTCTGCATCGACTCATTGGCGATTTCTATTATCCATTTACAATGAAGGGATAGTGGTTTGGCTGAATTCTCTGCTTCTTATAATGACTTTTCCAAAGAGGAAGCTGGAAAAGGTCCAATGAGGAAGTTGACTGCATTTGACAAGGTAGAGTGGGCTATGAGCAATAACAATGTCCACAATGGTCAGGTTTGTCTCTCCTTCCATAGATAAATCTACTGTTAGGTAACTGTTAATCATCTCCACATCCCCCACACTGTATGGCATACACAATGGGAGACCTCTGCCTGGGACAACAAAGGTCTCTATAGTGCAGACACAAAAAAAAAAAAACATGGAGAATCATAAGGTTCTATCAGCATCTGCTGGAAGCGTGGCAATGCTTAGTTTTGATCGAGGCAAGTCACATAAGCAGTCTTGAACATGAAATCCTCTCACAAGTAGAGGTCACGGCGAGAAAGGAGCACCAAGATAGACTGTGTGTCGTCATACAGTGTGGCACAGTGAACATGCCAACACTTCCCATGGAAATTAGAAAAACGTCATCTCCACATTAGACTTCCATAAGCAATTTTTTTTCCTTCGTATTGGTTGATGTAAAAGAAAAGTGATTCTTGTTTAAGAAAAAAGTAGGCCAGGCAGTGGTGGCGCACAACTTTAATCCCAGCAATCAGGAGGCAGAGGCAGGGGGATCTCTGTGAGTTTGAGGTCAGCCTGGTCTACAAAGCAAGTTCTAGGGCAGCCAGAACTATGTAGAGAGACGCTATTTAGAAAAAAAGGCAAAAAATAAAAATTAAACATAAGTAAAATTTACTGACCTGAAATGGTAGACAATATAGCAAGTAATGAAAAATGATAGTCTACTAAAAAATCAAATTTTGCTTTAATATTTCTTAAGCTTCAACTTTCCCCTGACCTCCATGTACATCACACATGCCATGCCATACATGCACACACATACACACACTAAACAAATGAATAAATAAATAATGTAATCATAAAATAAATAAGTAAAATTGTTAATATTGAACTACTACTATGCTGCTGGATCCTAACGTCTTCCTCGGGGGAGGGGCTAAAAAGGCACAGTGTCAACAACCACAGATGCTGAGAGTCAGGTAGAAGGTTTATAGCAGACTCGTTTATTTAACAACGGGGGGGGGGACTTACATACCCTCCCAGCATCCAGGCTGGGTGACGGTTGACATCTCAAGCTCATCTCTCATTGGCTAGGCACGATCAGGACCTCTGACAGCGCCTGTTGCTAGGCACTCAGGAAACACTGCTTGGTAGTTCCTTACTGGCTAGGCACAGGCAGGACCTTGGACAG